AGATGTGTATAAGAGACGAGTAATAAGAAGATTTGAATTAGAAGGAATAATGTATATGATGCATGATCATGAATTATCAGCACATTTTGGGATTCAAGCTACATATGAAAAAGTAAAAGAAAAATATTGGTGGAAAAATATGAAACGAGATTTAGAAAAATATGTAAAAAGTTGTGATAATTGTCAAAGAAGAAATAATCCACAAGGTTTATATGAATTACATCCAATAGAAGTAAAAGAACCTTTTCATATGATTGGAATAGATGTAATAGGACCATTACCAAGAACAGAAGAAGGAAATAAATATATAGTAGTAGCAATAGATTTCTTTACGAAATGGCCAGAAGCAAAAGCAATAAAAGAAGCAAATGCAAAGGAAATATCAAAATTCATTTATGAAGAAATAATTTGTCTACATGGATGTCCAAAGAAAATACTTACAGATAATGGATCAGAATTTAATAATCAATTAACTAAAAATCTTACCGAAAAATTTAACGTTCAACATAAATTTTCAACTCCTTATCACCCTAAAACAAATGGATTAGTAGAACGATTTAATAAAACATTAATAGAATCATTAGTGAAATTAGTAAAAGAAAAATTAACGATATATAGAAATAGTGAATATGAAGATAAAAATTGGGATCAAAGAATAGCACCAATATTATTTGCATATAGGAGTAAAATACAAAAATCAAGTAAAATGACACCATTTTATTTGACTTATGGAAGAAGAGTAATATTACCAAATGATGAAGAAGTTAAAGGAATTACAATGATTAAAAGAATAGAACACATAATAGAAGAATTACCAATAAAAAGATATGAAGCAAAGAAGAATATTGAAAAAGCACAAGAACAACAAAAGAAATATCATAACAAAATTGGAAAATGAAAACAAAACTTTCAAATAGGAGATAAAGTATTATACTTTGACACGGCGAAATATAAAACACATACAGGAAAACTAGAAGAAAAATGGAAGGGACCATATTATATACACGAAGTAATAATAAATGGATCATACAAAATTAAAGAATTAGATGGGAGGATTTTAAGAAGACCTGTAAATGGAGAATTATTAAAAGAATATTTTGATAGGGAAATATTTGAACCATATATAATAATATAATATGTTTGAGACCCGAGTTTGATTCTTAATTTATGGGACATAAATTTTTCAAGTGGAGGATAAATGTAATAACCAAAAATACAATAAAATAGAATAAGGATAAATAATTAACCGATGGGTAAATAATTAGCCAATAAAATTATATTTATAGTTTAGTTTAGTGTAACGAGATAGTCATATGATAATATTTTATTAGAAAAAGATAGTAAATATTAAAAATATTTTTCTTAAAATGTATAAATACAAGTGGATTTCGATAGGAAATTCCGCAGTCTTGATTTTATGTCTTGACTCAGGATGAAATTAATATTAATAAAGAGTTATCATAGTAGTTTCACTATGAACAACGATTAATAATTAATGATTCTAATATAAAAAAAAAAATTAATTAAATTTATTTCGCTCATAATATTAAATTTGGGGAAATTATCGCTATTTGAAATTTTGGTAAGAAATTTTGTTTTGTAACTAATTTTTTTTATTTTAAACCAAGCGAAGATAATATAAGAACTCAACACGTCAGTAGCAACATACAATAAATAGTTATTTATCCTATGGGCGGTGTCACCGGCACCTGCCACATACCGATAGACGAAATCCTAACATTTATAATTATATATCCTTGCTTGGTTTAGATTTTATCATTTGAATTTATTCAAATTTCAAACTGCGATAATTTCCCTTAATGCTTTCATAACTTCATTATTTTGTTTTATTAATTTTATTTTAAATATTAATTTTATTAATTATTAAACGTTTTCTAATATAAAGCCATATTAGTAACTCTATATTAACAACTAATACAATTATTAATTATCATTATATTTTCCTAAATCCCCAATATTATTCCCAATTCCAAGTCAAAACTTGGTGAAGTTCAATTAACTCCAACACCTCGATCTTAAATATCTTTTCAAGTTACACTAATAAATTGATTATCTCTCGATTATCCATCTAAAACTCAACATTTCCCATTGCAATTCCATTACAATTTATCATTTTCCATTACAATTTATCATTTTCCATGATTTTATCCAAACTGTTCCCATCATAATTTGGTATTATCCGTAATTTGTCTATTTCATAGATTAAATTGTCAAAGTCCTCCTAATATTATATTATTTCATTAACGTAATAATAATCTATTCATACTAAACTAATAATAACTAATCTAATAATATAAATAATTATGAATAACTGAACTATAAATAAATATTACTATAAATAGCTAACTATTGTACAACTATAATAATGTATTTTCTAATTATTTCGGTTAAATATTCTTCCATTGGCTGAATATTTATCCCTGTTCCATTCGGTATATTATTTATCCTTCGGATAATTATTCTTCCGATCACATGATTATCTCGATATTTAGGGTTACAGTGGCGTGGCACAACCTGGG